CTCTTAAAGAAGAGAGACTGGCTCCATTGCATTACTGAAAAGTAATCAGTGGGAACTTACTCACATAGAGCTGAAAACCAGCAGGCATTTAGGCTGTAATGTCTCCCCGAGTTGGGACCTTTACATATTTTAGAGTATTGATCATTACTTTTATTGCCGCTATTTTGGTGGTCACTCTACTGTGTCTGTCTCTGCAGAGTTCTCTGAGGAATACACTGCAGAGAATAATTGTTGCTAGGTAATTGTCAAAGAAAGTCATGCAAATTATAAAATATCAATAGACTGTCTTTACAAGTCAATGGTGCCAGGCCTCTCCTGTTTTGCCAGTGAAATGCAAGCTGTAAGAGTGTGTTGCCTTCATAGTTCTTGAAATGACCTAAAAATGGCATTCATCAAAACCAGCCTCTAATGTAAGAAGTCCACTGAGCAGTCCCAGTTTATTCAGTTTGAAATAATTGACTTTTCTGCCTTTTCAATGTTATTGACATTGTGATTTAATATTGCAAGGCATCAATTATATTTGTGGGAGAAGTAGAGAGAAGAAAATACTAAGTTGACTTTTTAAAAGAACATTTTCCAAATTAAAAATAGTTTATTCAAAAGATAAATAGAAACTTAGAGTTTTCTTATCTCACCCCAAACTTACAAAGTACATCCTACATACAAATCTCAAGCTAGTATCCTACAACTTGGTTGGAAAACATTAAAATATTCAATATACACAGAAATGAGTGAAAATGATAACCAATAAAGTACTAATAATTATGGTGAAGACCAGCTGATTCTTTGTTCATCTAGTAACTTTTAGCAGTGATACTTATTTTAACAATTCAAGATAGGACTGGAAAAAATAAAATTAATCAGCATAAAAGCCAGAGTCAAAAAACAACAAATAAAAAACACCCAGAGTCAATATTGCAGTTGGCAGGTAGGGTTGCATAATTTCAAAATCTGGGGCAAGTGTCATGATTAATGGCTTTCCCCTAGTTGCACAGGCCCATCTGAGGTTTGATGTGGCAACATGGTGTAGCTGCTGCACAGGAACAAGCACCACTAAAGTCAAAGACAGTGACCTCAATACTAACATGGATTCTCACTATCAAAAAAAAATTAAAAAAACATATCACTAAGGTAAGGTTATTATTGGCTTCATCTACACTGCATCCCCTACAACAATCAAACATACCTGATGCCAACCATACATGCTTTCGGGGAGCTAAGCTAGATCTACTCACTCTAACTTTGGCTCCAGAAACAACTGGTTAAATCTAGATATTTCTGCCTATGTGTCTTTCCCCACACACAAATTAGATGTTCAACTTCTCCAGAGAAGCTCCTCCTCCCTAAAACCTTTATGGTAACTGAACAGTGAAGAAATATACTAAAAAAATATATGGGTAATGGCAACACCTTTATCAACATGCTAATTTTATTTGTTAAGCAAATAAATACCCTTATCCTGCATGTTCAAGGTGAGGAGTTAGGCACTGTGGAAGACCTTTTTAAAATGAGTCTGTCATGAATTCTACCTTCATTAATTTACAGAGTTTTATTGGTTTGCTTGTTTTTTTTTGGGGGGGTGCTGTTTACTTTAATTTTGGTTTGCTTTTTTTTTAACTTTCTTTTCTTTATTCTTTTTATTATGGTCCTGAGGATTGAACAAGTGATCTATCATTGAGCTATATTCCCAACACAATATATACAGATTCTACTTGTTTTATGCACCCCTCCAAAAAAAAACCCTTAGTGAACATTAAAGGAATCTAGGCAGTGACCCTTCTTTCTAGGACACCTCCTTCTGGAACACACACCCCCTGAGGCCCCAGCAACTCTGAATCACCTCTTCCATCCACTATTATTTAAGCCCATGGTAGATGAACAGAAAGGAGGAGGACATAGCTAAACAGTAAGGTAGATGTACACTCTGAGTCTTAAGAAGGAACTTAGTGGCAGACATCTTAGAGGCTATCTACAGAGAATGGCCCTGGAAATTCTGGTTTATTTCTGACCATATCCCCTTTGCTCCAGGACTCTAGCATGGGAAACTTGAATAGTGTCTGGTGCTCATGGCAAGGTTTACCTGAAGAACCTTTGGACTCTACTATTTCTACCCATGTTCTCATTATGATATTCATGTAGTAGGTTTCTTTTAGTATTTCTAGTATACTTACAAGAAAATTAAATTTACGGAAGAAGCTCATTTACCCACCCAGCTACTATTTAATTTGAACACAGGTCTGTCTGGCTCCAGAGGCAGTTTTAACCATTAGATTATATCAATTTTGAGTTTCAGAAATGTTGGTATTTTATTTCTGGGTTCCAGATAATTCCTTAAAAATTTTCCATCTACTACTCTAATTGAACAAAGATTTGTGTTTTCTCACAGTTGAGTCTTAAGGGAGTAGGAGTAAAGACAGCAAAATTCTACGGAAAACAACAGACTGGCTGCAAACAGCTGCATCCACTTTAGGTAGAGTTGCATGGCCTAGTTGATTTCTGGAGATGAAACAGCATGTTACCATTTGTCTGTTCACTCTCTATGGTTTACTCGGGAAATACCATTTGCTTCCCATTACCTTTCTCAAGAGCGATGAGAAAAAGATTGTTTTCCCTTGTGCAAGTGTATTTATATATGGAAGGAACAATGTGTTCCTACTTCATTTGAAGAACAGATACTGTCACGCCGTCACACAGCAAGATTCCAAAACTTCCTAGAACTTAGCTGATACACTTATGAGAGTTTCTCCTTTCAAAATGAAACCAGATACCATTCAGAAACTCATGTTCATGCTCATAGGCTGGGGCAATGAAGAAGGACATACAGTCAATAAAGGCAACACAGAGAACAGGCTACCTAGTGTATGTGAATACCTTGCCCTAAAGTCTTCCTTTATTCCCTTTGTGATTCTGTATCTTTAATGAAGAAAATATAATATTTTTCTTCCAGTAACGTCATCTGAGGCTGACAAACGGCAGACAGAGGAAAGGAGTGTGTTGACCTTTTCCAGGAGAGAGGTCTAAGACACAAGGGCTTCTTCTTTAACAAAAACACACTGAAGTTTGAAATGTGGGAATTTGTTACTTTATCTCTTGGATACAAACACTTCCTTTCTTTGAACTCACACTCATGAATCCTTGAGGTAGCACCAAGTCATCCCAGTTAAAAGTGAACTTGGCCAGTCTCACCATGCCTTTGGCCGAAACACTGGGCTGATTCGTGGGTTGAGTTTTGGCTGGGAAATGCACAATATTAGTATTACAGGCAGCTTCAGAGAGGTATGCCAGGCCTCTCCCCACTCAGTTTATATTTGCATGTGAACAGCTTGCCGGCCATTTTATGAAGACAGATGAGTTACAGACCTGCTGGAGGGGTATCAATTTGTGAGCTACACACCCTATAGCTTTACCTGTTTTAAGATAAAATAATGTATCTCTGGGCACATCTTCAGGAAGATTAGTCCAAATACATTTTATGAAAAACAGGACATTTAAGACATCACCAGTCAGGCCAAAAATAAAGAAACAAGTCTATAAATATGCTGTATAGATTGTCAACAACAGATAATATGCAGCTGTTTGACACAAAAACTAGTCTTCAGAGGTCTCTTCTTTTTTATATTAATTGCTTCTTGTGTGTGTGTGTGTGTGTCGGGGGGGAAGGGCTTGGATAAAGAAAATTTCACCAAAATACTAGAATAAGAATAGGGATTATCAGTTCACATTTAAGGTCTCCGTGAAGAATTAAAGCAATGGCTTTCCAGGGTTAACAAACTAGGAAGTGTTCTGAACAATTAGCGATAGGACTTCTAATGTGGTAAGGTAAGCCCTCCATCACACCAAACCAAAGAGCTCAGTTTACCTTTCCTTTCCAGGTAATCAACTGACGATCAAGATGGGAAGATGGAAGCACAGAGGGAGAGGAAAAGGAAGAGAGGAAGAGGAGAGGGATCTCATTCACAGAGCAGGAGATGAGAAACGGAATGGTAGCATTATGCAGGCAAGGAAAATGTTAGAATAGTCCTGAACCATTATTAGCATTTTTATTTATTTAATATAAAGTCATTGAAAAGGCCTGTGGCAAGTATGTTAAGTGTAGTACTATCCTATTTTAGATAAATAAATGAATGCTCTGAGAAGTTAAGTAATCATTTTAATATCACAGAAGTTAGCCTTAGATTTGAGGATTTTTGAAAGACATCTATATATTGACCTATGATACTTAGTTTACATATCCATTTTTATTAAATGACTGGGTTTGCTCAATCTAATATTCAAATCTATGACTATGTTTCTCATCCTTGCAGTGTGTCCCACACATTTTGAACATTACATAAGGTATTCATATATGTAAAGTGTAGATTCTATCTAAAAAGGTCTCTGTAACAATAACTTCACATAGAATCTGAGGTGTGGCTCAGTGGCCCTCTACAGGACCTGCCTAGCATGCAGGATCTCTGGGTTCAATCCCCAGTACTGCAATCAGGAAAGAGAGAAGGGAAGGGCAGTGAGGGAGATTACTCTGTTTACACAATTGAGGGATCTCATGTTCTCTTGATATTTGATTTCAGACAATTTAAAGGGAAAAATCTTTCAAAGATACAGTGCTTTCTTAAGGCCATTTGCAAAGAGTTAAGATCTACATTATCAGGAAGACTGCATGTCCGCCCATGATTTTCAATGAACAAACACCTTTGGCCATTTCTCACTTTGAAGAGAACTGTTATAAAATTACTATGAGAAGATTGGGATCCTTCTTTCACGCTGTCCAAGAATGTGCCCTGGTGAATCCAGCCCCCCTCTTACATTTCTGAGAATTAAATGTCCTAGTTAGAACTCTCATGGAGGAGAAGGATTGGGGTGGGGACTGAGGCTGCTGGATGCCTCTGGAGTTTTCTCTTCGAATACTCTGAGTTCTTGCTATGTGTGTTCATAGGGCAGCCATGGCTCTACCGCCTCCTGTGGACTCTGATACAGCAGCCAGAGTCCCATGCTAAACTTACCATTTTCTGGCTGGTCCTTAACGTCAGCATCACTTGGCTGGCTGGGACTTTCAGATTGACTTGAATCTGAAAAACATAAAAAATACAGCCAAAATTACAGGATCTGTGAGAGAAAGTGGATCAGAGGTGCCAGACTTTCTCAAAAGGTTCAGCCTATAAACCAAGAATGAGAAGGTCAGAAAATGACACGATGAATGAAAAGAGGGAGAAAGAAATGGAGGCGGGGCTGGTGCCCAGTTTTGTTTATGCCTTCCGTAGTTTCCTCTGTGCGAGGTCAGTAAGTGAAGCTCTTCAGAACCATTCTCCAGTGGAAAGGTGGCTCCACACTTACTTTCTTAATACTTATATACAGAAGTCTGATAACGGCTTCATCTGCCATTACACATTTCTGAAGCTTCATTCCAGTCATAACAAAGGGCATATTTTGAAGCTGGTATAGAGAAACCTAGACAGCAGCACAGATTGCACACTCACAACACTTAATTCCAAAGTTCTAATGTTCTGGCGCATGTGCCAGAAGTAACCAGTATCCCAGACAAGGCTTTTTTGAGGGCCCGAGATTCCTCCACAGGACAAACGTTTTCCTGTGTGGTAGGTATCTGGGAACCCCAAAAGGGTTTGTTAGTGAAAGCAGTATCTGGTAAACCTTTGCAGAATTTAAGTGATTTCTTAAAAACAAAACAAAACAAAACAAAAAAACATATTTTTTTAACTCAAAAAATTCTTTCCATTAAGTTAATTTCTAAGCATGATAGCTTAAAATAACACTTTCATAATGAGATAAAAATGAACTTTCAAAAGAATTTCACAAAATTAGAAGCAAGCATAGTTTATATGTTTGGGAGAAAAGATGAAAACTGAGGTGCACATCTCAAAGAGAATAAAGCATTTCCAGACACTTAGGCTAACAGACATAAATAATTATTTGAAGAAAAAATATAAAAACCTCTATGTCTGTGGAAAGAGTGGATCCTAAATTTACCTGGAGGTCATAGGTTTACAGTCAGTTATCTTTAATCTGCCTGCATTTCATCAAGAAGTCAATACACAACTAAGAGTTACAGCATGTAACTGTGACCAAAGTGAAAGTGTCGTGACATTGGGACATAGCCATAGCATCCCTTCTCTTTTCTGGAGAGACTGCACAAAGAAGTGGTACTCCCAGGGACTTTTCACTGAGATGTTAACCTGTAATGTTCAAAAACTCCCACTTTCAGACATTAAGGATCTTAATCATAAGAGAGCACTAGAAGGGCTATGTCTAATTTAAACTTTCAGGCAATATTAACCTAGTAAACAGAACAAAAAATTCTGTTGGGTCAAAAATTAAAAGAACAGGCGTGATAAAAAGGTTGATTTTTAAAATTTAAATCTAGCATAAGAGCTTTTATCATACTGTAACAATTGCTGTTTGTCATTTGTTTTGATAGACAAAACCAGAAATGCTAATGTCTCAAAAACCTGTACAGGAGCCCTTTCAGCATAAACTGCAAAGACACAGATCAAGCCTGTCCCTAAAGTTGGGAATTCAAACAAACTTATAGTGAGATCACATTTGAAATTCTAATGACAGAAACTAGTATTATAATAGACACTCTAAAATATAGCTAATTATCTTTTTTAAAGATCCTATAATTTTTTCATTAAAAATTACAAGTTAAACACTTCAAAAATATTTAAGTATGTTTCGAAAGAGTCACACCATCATTATTTTTATTCTAGAAAAATCTTAAACCATTAATTACATAAATTAAAGCAAAATATCTAAATTTGTTTTAGTTAAGTTCCTTTTGATCATACATGAAACATACATAAAATTTACCAACCAACATGTTCTTTAATCCAAACAAATATATTTTTCTTATGATAGCTTAGATAAATTGTTCTTGTAGGTGTGACATCTTTATAACTAATGCTTCTTCATAAAGCAGTGGAAAGATCTTTCCTGTTAATTAACTTATATACACAATAGACAATGGGATTAAACCATTCATTTATATTTAAAAAGAGGGATAATGATCCCTAATCATTTTTAACCTGATAGTAAATATATTTATGTTCACTTTTTGTTTAAAACATTTGTTCCCTCACCCTACCTTTAGAGAAACAGTAAACATGAACACTACGAGCTGAATATGAGGTATGTTCGAAGCTAGTTTAAAATTCTAAGCCACAGAAAAGCAAGCAGAAGAGCAAGCGTCCAAGAGCTGAGTGGGTCGGAAATGCTCGGGCTGGGTCTACAAGGGTCCCAGCACTGCCCTGAATACTGGGACACAAACACTGGAAAAGGCATCTGGCCAAACTGGGATTTGAGCATGAATTCTCAGTTTTATTCAAAACCCAGAGGATGTTACCACCCGAGGCCGTCAAGCTAAAATATTCTATCCCAGGAAGGCTCAAGCAGAGAGAGCCAAGGCTTCACATGAAAACCCGAGTGCCCTAAATCTTTCGATAATTATTCTCTACCCGTCCTGGTGCTGTTCCGAGAGGAGACACAGCCCCTTTCTCGAATGTAAAAGGTCACAGTTGCTGTTAAGTACGGAGGCAACCAGATGACCAGAATTACAAATTAATTTCTATGCTCACACAACTGATACAAATGAAAGTCCTCTTAAGCATTTGTATGGAAATGCTACCAAAACTAAGACTTATTTTAATCTTCTCTTTTGTGTACTTTTTAGAGAACTGGGAGAAGACTTTATGTCTTTCTCTTTGGGGCTATTATTGTGTGGTTGCTTCATTTCTGACCACCTAAAATAATTAGAGCCCATCAAAACAAATTCACTTGCATAGAGCAGACTGGCTCTCTTGCACAGGAAGCTCCCCAATCCCCATGCACCAGAGTGGTGAATGTCTTTAAGGGTTCCCTGGCTAAAAGCCAAAGCATTTGTACTTTACAATGAATATTGCTTAAATTTTACAAAGAATATGACTTCAAGTGTATCTAAATGATGGGGTTGAAATGTTGTTGTAGGAAACTAAGAGTTATTGGTTTTTCTTCATAGCTGGGGATAGTTTTTGTTTTTGTTGTTGTTTGTTTGTTTAGTGAGCCTTACATAGCAATCTAACCTTGAAAAATTATATTTCCTTTGGTTTTAAACTATTTATGAGCATACATTTAAAACTATTAAAACTAAAATAGACAGGGTTTGCATACTGAAAGCTAGGTTAAGATCTTGCAAGTGACCTGATAGCCATCTATCTATGCATTTTTATGGCATCTACAACTAAATTGCTGCAGATATTCCTCTATCAATAAAAATCACCAGAGAAAGAATAAAATAAACCCTAATGTCCACATATTGGTCTCTGCTTCTATAACTTGTACAAGAAGGACAGAATCTTGTCCTGAGTTTGTAACTTATATACATATCCAATCCCTGCAAACTCAAAACTGTTCCTTTTCATGAAGCACTCCTTTAGCAGAATGCAAAGGATGACAAAAACACATTCATGTGGTAGAGTGATGAGGGAAAAATATAGGTGTCACATCCCTATATTTTATATTAATTAAGCTTCTTGAAAAGATGGCACATTGCCAATCTTCTCTGTCCTTGACCTAGAATTAGTCCCTTTCCCCATCCATCTTTCAATGTGCACACATCTCTGCTTGGTACAGTTGATGGAAGCTGTGTGGTGGTGATTCAAGCTCCTGCAGAGAGTCATTTCCTGTCCTCTTGTCTCCCGGCCCTTTGACAGACATCCTGGCCCAGCCACAGAGCTCAGTAACTGCTCAAGATATAAACTTCCAATTCTTGTTCAGCTCCTTGACATTGACAAAGTTGCCAGTGACAGTACCTCTCTGAAAAGTATATGGTCACACAGAAAGGGGAGTGGGATTTAGAACCTGAAAACAAAGGGTGGGAAGGCCATGATCTCTTCTGGGGGCCGGTAAGAGAAGGGGAGGCATACCTCTCTGACATGGGGTTATCTGGAAACTACAGAATGGAAACAGGCTGTAGACAAGCACCTTTCTGAGCTGCTAGCACAGAACCCAGGCTGAACTGAGGACACTGTCCAACACTCAGAAGCCCTAAGAAGTGTACACGGGCTAAACTGACCACTGGAAGGAACATTTCACATACTCAGAAGTTCAAAGGGTAGAGGAGCCATGTATTCTCCAATGGCCACAGTGTTTTGCAGGTCTTAAGATTGCTGCTGCGAACTGAGTAGAGCAGAGCAGGTCCATGGAGGTCCATGCCTCTTCTCCCTAAATGTACCAGCAGAATTCCCACTCAGCGTGAAACAGTCACACAAGTCTACTAACCATGAAAGCATAAATCTTGCTCTCTAGAAAACCACTTCAGTCTAAGTTTCAGGCCATCAACATGAACAGTTATTTGGCTACAGCTGAGTCTGCAGAGCCTTTACTAGAATTCTGTGTCTAGTTCTTAATCTCCCAAACTGAAAGACAATAAGAAGAAACTAGAAGGCATCCAGACACACAGAAAATGAACCAGCCCAGTGAAAAAAAAAAAAAGGTGATTTTTTTCTTTTGTCCCAAAGAGTAAGAGTTCTCTATCACCTAAATGAAAGAAACTCAAAGATTGGAATCGATAAGAAGTGAAGAGTTGGGGGAATTCCCAGGGAGAAAGAAAGGAGGTGAGTGTTTGCTGTGACTATAATCAACAATGACTTTCTGCAGTTGTAGCCAATAACAACTTTAAAACTTCAGGTAAGTTTCTGTGTTTATGGTTTGAGAAGGTGAGTAATAGATTCTGTCGTAGAGTCAGGATAAATAATTCATCTTCTATGCTACATAGTTAGAATAGGAAAAACATCTCTCTCTCTGATAGTACAAAGTTAAGAATTCCTGTGTTCTGGTCTAGTGTTACATATTTACAGTAAGGGTCTCTAGAAGATGTGAAACGGTTATGATGGTCGCAATTTGCTTATTGATCTCATAGTTGCTGTTATCAAAGAAATTATTGTTGTAAAACTACATTTAGAAACACTATCCATGTTTTCTATAGGATCAAGATCTTAAAGACTGAAGCAAGAAGAAATATTTGTGAAGGCTTATGTGAGAATGTGTCACTGCACAGGTCATGCAGAAGCATCCTCAT